CAATTCTTTTGCACATAACTCAACATCTTGCACTAACCTAACTTTTACTTGACTTCAAAGCAACTGTTCTAGCGAGTCTAGACGAAAGCACGGAGTTTTGGTGCTGTTCCGATGGGAGGGGACATATTTAGACCAGCACGGCCATACCGATTGACCACAGATACATGTCTGGGAGATTCAGATGGCGAGTTCATTCCCCATATTTGTAACTAGCATCCAAGACTTTATTGAGGAGGTCTAGGCTGACTCAACGCTTTTTTTCAGAAATCGGTAGCCCTCCCCTAGTCACATCCGTATGCATAAGTTTCCATAAATACCTTGATCAATTGCAACTCCTTCACGCGTCCATACCGTGTGAACCTTCACCGATGGTGGTGAAACCTTCAAAAAGAGATGTCTTTTGTAAAGGTTCTAAGAATGTCTGGAAACAACCTGTTCCAACCTCACAGCTAAGGTTGGCAGCGCCACCTAGTGCCACAGGTCCAATTGCTGTTTTCTTGGAAGCGAAAGTGAAGTTCTCTGAAATCTAGAGATTACTTTTGCATATAGATAGTAACGTCGCAGCAGCTGGAACTGTGTCAGGACGCGTGGAATGAGCTTACCCTTGGCTGCGTTTTCTAAAGTGGTGATCGGTTCAGGAAGAAAACAACTAGTGATGGACTCTTTCCATGGGTCCTGACATTTCCTCGACTGTCTGCAACGACTAACCACTTCCGGTGCGAGCACCCAGAAAACCTGTTATCGAAAAAGCCAGCGCGTATTTTCATAAAATTTACTTCTGAGGAGCGAACAGTGATGAGACAGTGATCTCAAAGTAGGTGGTCCACTCGGACGCTCCTTAGCCATGTTAACATGAGGAATTTGAACTTGATCAAAAGGGGGTTATTGGTGGCATCTGCGTTGTTGGTCCCTGAGAAAGCGTTTCTCAGGCTTTTTCTCAGTTGTCACCAGTCGAATGGAACTTCAGGAATTGTCGGCGCAGTTCGGCGACGCGGAAGGAAGTGGGGGGGGGGTTATACTTTCGCTGCTTCCCATTGCTGTATGTATCTTCGCTTCACAAGAGTTGACAGGAATTCTTTAGAAAATTTTCACTAGTAGTTTCTTCAAATTTGACTATGTTATTTAGGCCTTCATCAGATTTCACAAGTTTTCCCTATTTGTTGACTCGACACAACAATAAGATGCACAGAAAGTGCAAAGATGCCCCTTCCCCTCCCCCCCCCTAATCACTCTTCAGTGTTAGGTATGTCTTCAGCACTGGGCTTTTCAATATTGGATCGACGAGGTTTTGTTGATGTGTGAGGAGCAGTTTGACGCAGCAATGAAAGAATGACCGAAATGAACGAGTGCCTTCAGATATAAACCGCACATCCCAGCGATGGGATGGGCGTGGCTGCGTGCTTCAATTGGACATGGGCCAGAATGCATCTCATGTGGGATATTCCGCAGTTCGGCGACGGGGGGGGGCACTTCGCTTTATCATTGCTTCCCTAGTTCCGGTTTACAAGTCTCACTCTGGCGAAACCTGTGAACTCTTGTGAAGCTGGAGCAAGGTCGTCAAGCCATCATGGTAAAACCTGTCAACTCGAGAAGAGGCTGTCTAGATAGGTCGACACGTCGATGGGAGAAAGTGCAGAATGTCCCCTCCCCGTCGCCGAACACGCCGGAATTCCCATTTGGTACAAGTGTTGTCTTTTTCTGTGCTGAGCAAACTCATGGTTTCAACGTTCCGAGACTGCAACACCCTTCCAAGCGCAGCTGCCGCCACGTTCAAATGAAGTAAGGGACTCTCCATCACTGGGATATGGTGTGTAGGTAAGCAGTAATCGAAACAGGACACACTCCCCGACGCCCTCGAATACCTCCACCTCAAAAGTAAGCTTGTTCGCTCAAATCACAAGCTTCTTTTTTTGAACTGTGCCGTTTATCCGCTTCAGCTCACCAAAAATGTTGACATCGACGGTCTGAGACAGCAGACGACTTCCAAGTTGTGCCTGACACGTGTAGAGACCAGAATCTTCAGCGCTAGCGTTCCTGATAAGGAGGCTCATCGTGTGATGATCAAGTGACTTTACTTCAACATTACCAGTTCTGCAAACAAGACCAATAAGTAAACAAATCAGTGACTTCATAAACAATTACCCTGGCTTCACCCTTGTCTTGTTATACCCTTACCGATCGAGTCCACCATATTTGCTCCAAATCATCCCAGGACGGATGTCCTCGCCGGCTTCCTCTACAGTACACAAAAGGGATACTTGTTTTCCGGATGGTTTCTGTAGTGGATTGGTTGGTGGAAAAATCGAAAGGTGGGGTTCCGCACCTGAAAGGTTTTCAATAATTTTAGGAAAGAAAATTAGAGAAATTAATAAGTTCTCTTACTTAAGGGCGTTATTCTAAAGACAAGAGCAAAAACGAGTAGCATTGTGGCCATGACAGCAACAGACTGAGCGAGATCTTCGCACCTTCACTGGCAGCCACCCTCATAAATCCACCCAATCAAAGAGTACGGAGTGTAAGAGCTAATGCGTTTTTGACAGGAACGAACCGCCACACTCTAACGCGAACGAAAACAACCTGGGATTCACCGATAATGAGTAGGACAGTTGCGGTGATTAGTCGATTAGGTTGTCTGCGAAAGATTAAAGTACATTTTTCAAAGCTGCAATATGAAAAGCTACTTGTTCAACTTCTCCACTTTTCTTTTTTGAGGGATTTTTTCTGCACACTGACACTTGAATTAGGATGAATTCAAACCCGTACTGAAACAGATTTTTTCAAAACTTCGGGAATGTTTTCTTTGATATTTGCGACTGAGTTTCCTGTGGTTTATCTAGAGTGAGTGGGTGGTGCAGTTTCAATTGGCAGCTCCACTCACCACGCACGTGATCTGGCGGTCACCTTTTGATTCGACTCCCGCCAGGTCGACCAAGCCTTTCCTCAACGCGATCGCTTCTTTAGAAGCACAAAAACACTGACTCGAACATCGATCCTGACAATTTATAGTAGCGCCACATCATGTCCACAATGCTGCTACCATTCTGAATCCTCGTGGAACAGAAATAGGAAATGGCTCGTTTGCACCTATTAGCTTGTCTCCGTGCGCGCAATCCATTGGGCTCCTACGCAGAGATGGACGCTATGTCTGTCCATGGAAGCGCTTGTGTTTATGGGTTCAGAAAGGTCCACGGAAAAATCGTTACCACAGTCTGCCTTCATTGTGACAGTGCAGCTCGCACCCTTCAAAAAGGTCGAGCCTAACCTCATGTACTAGGGCTGGATGGCTCTCCCCTTGCACCGATGTAGTCCAGATATTGCTGGTTCCAACTGCTAGCTGCTTTCCATACTTAGCCGCTATATGGACAAGAAGACCTCGACCCATGCCCAACAAGATAAAATAAAATGACAATAGTAAGTCTTGAAAAGTTTTTGCATTTGTTCCAAAGCTGAAAATTATTCCAAAGTCACTTTTAATGCCGATTTACTTCATCATTTTTGCTAAATTTATTGACAAGTTTCTCCTACTTTGAAAGATAAGACCCTAGTTATTGGCTTATACGGAAAGTAAACAAAATCTGAGGTCCTTCACATCAGCCAGAAAGCACAAGGTTGATATGGCCAGCCAAGATTGTTAACATTGACGAACGTTTTGGCTTGTTCGCCTTCGTCAGAGCCCTGAAGAGTCGAAAACAGATGGGACTTGTTCGCTGAAACGCCTTAACTGAAACTGAAGACCATTTCGAGATACCGGTAAACCACCTAACAGTATCGGTCAGTAAAGATGACCTGGCTTAACTTCGATCGCTGTGACGCGAGATCGACCACCCAGGCTGTATTGATGCTGCGAGTGACACCTGTCCCTCTACCCTTTAGGGTATCTTTCAATCTTGGCATGGTTGTGGTGTCAATTTAGTTGTTCACTTGAGCCGACCAAGATTGTTAACAAGGGTAGAGGGGCAGGTCTCACTTGTCGCATCAACACAGCCTGGGTGGTCGATCTCGCGTCACAGCGATCGAGTTAGGCCAGGTCATCTTTACTGACCGATACTGTTAGGTGGTTTACCGGTATCTCGAAATGGTCTTCAGTTTCAGTTAAGGGCGTTTCAGCGACAGGCTCTGACGAAGGCGAAGAAGGCGCGCCAAAAACGTCGGCCCAATAAATGTTAACAATCTTGGTCGGCTCAAGTGAACAACTAAATTGACATTATGACCATGTCAAGTTTAAGAAAAAGTCGGTCCTGGTTGCTATGAAGTGCATTCGCTTGAAGTTAATGCATCAGAATCTATAACCTGTATCCAATACAAAACGAAATTTCCAAAAATATGTCATTGACAAAATCTAGGGTAGGGCTTATATGCAAAATCAGCGGAATTGACAATGTAGAGACGTTGGCATGCCTATCAAATAAATTGTTATAATAGCAAAACGCCCTAGAGATACGAGGCTGTAAGGCACACGCCCTTAAAGAGTTCATCTCTAAAGAAGTTCTTTATTTTAGAGAGAAGTTTTTTAAGTCACCAGCTATTGGTCGGCCTCTTACTCCTTTAATCAAAAGAGAGATTCTCTGGAAAACATCTTCAAGCACTCCGGCCCCACTGACCTCCGTGTGACCGCTACTGACCTGCCCTCTATGATGACCCCACGGACGATGACCCTCGCCAGTCTTAGTCCATCTGGCAGCGAACCATAGCATCCCGCTTATTAGTTGCTGTTGCTTATCTTCTTAAATGTCTTGCTTCTCGTGGATCCTATTCGTAGTAGTTTTAAATATAATATTATGTGCTTTCCATGAGAATTCTTTTCATACGAAGTCTAATAAGAAAGGATATGCTTGGAATGCTTGTTGGCCCTTGTTTTCTAAACTAATGCGGGAACTCTTGGATGATCACATAGTAGTACAGTATTCCGGTAGTTTTGTGGAGAACTTCATCCTTGTTAGCTCTAATGGGCCTCATTTTTATCCGTTCTTTCCTCGACAGCCAAGCCTTTAACTTATCTCAACAATGACCAAGTTTCTCCAAAACTGCCGTAGAGGCCCGACTGGGTGGTTATATACAGGTTCATGAGCGGTGTAGAGGATTTTGTGGAAAAGAAACTTATGGCTGATTCTCTTCATTACTTCTTGTAAGTTTCTGTCACCAGTCGTTAACTTCCACATGCAGCCCTCTATATCTTTTGCTGGGGCCGACACCCAACAGTTGCTGCGGCGCCTTCTATACCACAGGCAGTCCTCCCCCTTATACAGGTTTATCAAATTTGACAAGTTGTTATCAGTTCCTGCCCTCCCCTCCCATCAGTAAGGTTCCTGCTCATTCCTCTACACCACTTCTTGAAATTAGCTCCTCATTGCTGTAACCCCTGACAAGAATTTGTTGACCGGTTACTTGGTACTAGAAAGGCAGCCGGGGTGGCATCATTTTACCCCCGCCTGACACCGCCCCGACTGAGTGCGACGATACCAACTATATGTACTAATCGGATTATATATGGCAGGATAATTTTCCAACTGGTGAAGGCTGACTCATTAGCCTTGACCTGAAGGAAATATGCGCAGCTGTGAACTCGTAGCATATAGCGCAAAGATAGTCACGGAGGTCATCCTTACCACTGTTCCAACACCTGGCCCGAGCCATCCACTCGGAGCCACTCTCCTCTATAAAATCTCGCGGAAAGTGAGAAGGAGATCCGTCGTAATCTCCATCGATGATGTTTCGCTTGGTGTTCAAATAATTGTTTCTTTTTTATAGAATATGGCAGTTAAAGACATCGATGAATCGCAGGTGTCAACAACGACCGAACGTGAGGTAAGGTCTTCCATTTGCATAGCCCTTCAATGTATCGTTCAATCAAGATGGCTAAGACTGAAGTTGACAGCGCAACTATCCCTTGAACCTGGAGGGATTGAGCTGAAGGTTATATACGCACCAAGCTTGACCAGTGACCTTGGAGTTTCCCACCACTCGATAGGCTGCCGCACTTCTGGCCACAAGCTGATTATAGGGATCGCACCGCATAGGCCAGGGTTGCCACCTAATATTGACACAAAGCCATCGACTCGCTTATTAGCAAAGGACCCGCTCATCATTGATACTATACCGCTGAATTCTTTTCGAAAAATATATCCAAAATG